TTTCAATTATATGGATTTTTGGGAAGGATTTTAATTGACCCCACGTGATATGGTTTTCAAACTCACAATGAACCAAAATAAGCTCAATGAATTTTTCATTGTGGATTTGAAATCCTCATGTTACCCAGATAAAATCTATGACAAGATGTTTCAGAATATTTAGGATGTCATAAGAGAATTCTCACGTCCATTTCAGGGACAGAATCTTTCTTTAGTAGAGTAAACAATAGAGGTGCCTATAAATCTTTCTTTCGTCATTGACTCTTCCATTATGTATTAACAACTTTCTTTTTGAAGCCTGCTTAACTATAAATAAGCGGTGCTAATTGACAAAACAAATTTATGTTCTCACTTGAGAAGAAAAATGAAGATTGTGGATATCAATTTCTATTTTTTGAGTAGTCCCAGAAGGAAAGGAACAAGCATATTTGATGACAGATTGAGATTGCAACGTGAAATTTCATTGGTTTGACCCAGCAACTACATGACCACTCTCTTTCTACTTTCCAGTATATCAGAAAGGGTGGGAGAACTAAATGACATAGTACAACTAAAGATTTAAGCCATACATATGCACATGTAATTCTAGATTAATTAATCTCACCATTCCCCATTGGAGAGAAAAGTAAGCCCACGGGGAGACACGAAAGTGGCTGTTTCTCCAATAACTGCAACAAAGTACGAATAAGAGGTATTGTAAGGCTATGAATAATTGATAGATGACATGGGGCTAGTTTACGATGACGTGTTATTAGTAAAAAATCTAATAAATTGAAAGCTAATTAAAGTAATGCAATAATAATTTGAATATAGAGATACTATGAGCATGTTTGTTTATAAAATGTTTTGAGTTTGTTTGAATTTTTTTGTTTGGTTTTGTTAATTTTAAAAGGTAGTATGGTTAGTTGTTAGTGGGTATATTAATAAATATTTAAAATAAAATGATAAAATAAAATTGATGTAAAAGTAGGAGAGAGAAGATGTGATGTGATGGTTAGTTAAAATTATGTGAGTAGATGAATAGTGAATTAAGGTTGATGTGGTGTATATGAATGAATGATTAATATTATTTAATTATATTGATAATATTGATGATAGTTGAGTTGAGTTAAAGTTGAGTTTAAAAAAGTGGTTGAATTAAAATGTTGGAATTTTTTTGGAAAATCTTATAAACAAACATGCTCTATATTTTGATCATTTATATTGATCTTATGATGTGTTTCTTCATATATGTTAATGTTATAGTGTCAAAATAAGGATAAGGTTCCGGTGACAGTTCGCCATTTCGGAGAACTAAAAAAAACTCGTGGTTGGGCAAATGTAACTAACTAGTCCAACAGATATTAAATCAAGACTTAAAGTCATGGTAATTTTATTTTATATCTTTTCTTATTTATGTTCTGCACCCACTAAGGTAACCATGTTCCCTCTTACATACAATAATTGTCAGATTGGACAAACGTTGCCCAAGGTAACCTGTCCGCATAAAACGTCTTTGACACAATCAATCTCACACTGAAGCAAACACCAAACAGAGGCAAATCAATGTACTTATGAACCAGAACTTAGTTATCAATTGAAAAACCCAAGTCTTACTACTGTAGTATAAATTGGCAGCTCTTACATTCACTCTTAGAAACAACTTGCTTACCTGCTCCTACAAGGAACTTGTTAACTACTTACAAAAAAATTAAAATGAATTTAAAAGTGGGATTAACTGAGATTCCAATTAAATACTACCATGAGGAAAACTGAAAAAAGATAATTATGTAGTTTAGTACTCAATTACATAGTTTAGTCGGTGAACTTACCAATTACCCAAGTGACAACGAAGTCAAAGCGATTTTGGCCATCCCTCCAATAATTCACAAACCCATAAGAATACACTTTTAGCGCCATTTCCAGGACATAGATCCATCCTGCAGAAGAAAAGAAGAAAAAAAAAAGCCTTTTTGGTGTGCAAATATGACAGGATTAAAAGATAGAGATTTTGAGCACCCTGAGAACTTGATAAACAAATTAGTTTTCAATTCGAACTGATGGAGACATAGATCAGTTGAGAATCTCTCTACATTTGGAACTGGAGGTAACTCACTTTAAAGATCAACCTTGAATGAATATATTAATCCAGAATAAATTAAGACATTCTGTTGAAAAGGATGAATGCGTGTATTTGCCTCTACAAGGGAGCATGGTGATGATCACCTCAATTTTGAAAAAAAAAAAAATGCCAGAAAATTTGGATAGAGTCTAGGCACTAGAGAACATTTGGCAAGCTAAAATGATTCACCCTGGGTGTTGGGAGACGGCAGTGTCCACCGGCATATCATGATGAATTTTATCTTTTCAAGTTAAATATGATATGAGATACACTGGTCTTCAGATTTGATAATTCGTAGGCACGTAACTAACACTTGACTTGTTAGATATACACAAAATTTGATGCTTTAGGAAAGGCATAAACTTAAAATAGACTAATCTTAAGAAGTTCAGACTGCTGGTTTACTAAATGGCAAGATTCCAATGCGTTAAAATCAGTCACTACGCAGTCAAAGTAGGCCGACAACTATTAGTATCTATGATATGCAACAAAAGTCAAATTTCAACTTGCTCTATCCTCTTATATGGATGTCTAATTTGTTCTTTTCTTGATTTCTAATCAGTAACTTGAATGGCAGGTTGCACTTGTTCGGGGAAATAATAAAATACGCCCAGTTGCTTGGAGCAGATGACAAATTCGCCAAGCAAGTTATGCAATTTTAGAAAATACCCACTATTTAACAAAAATCGAGCAAAATATGCCCAGAAATGCAAACTTAAGCGAAAAGCACTAATATATATTTTGTACTCAATATCTACCAAGGGTCTTGTCTTACCCTTTCTCTTGTATTCTCCGTTTTTTTTTTTCTGATCTTTCAGGATATGAAGAAAACAAACCATAACGAAATAATTTTTCATTCACAAGTCATATTCTAACACCAATTACTAAATGAAGGAACCCTAGATATGGACCTAGGAATCAGATCACCAAGCTGGGGGGTTTGTGAATGATCCAACGGCAAGTTTTTTATTTGACACAAAAAAAAAAAAGGAGATTCAGTGTTGACAATAAGAAATATAAAATAATTTGGATGCTCTTACCAAATACAAACTCCACTACTTGCCAGGTTTCTTGAGCAGAACTGTTTTCTATATCAAGCTGCGCCAGTAAGCATAAAATATCACTACACAAAGAATTATCTCATGTGGGGTGTGATGAAAATAGTTTGAAATTTTCAGAACACGAAACTCTTCCCTGTTTTTGGCTAGGGATGTTGGGTGGTTGAGCAATAGATTCTCAAACATATCAAGGTCCAATACATTAAAGAAGGAAACCTCTTTCTTTTTGTTGATGCCATTTCCAAAAATATAAAAAAAAAGGCATGTACAACCAAAGTCCAGCCCTCTGATACAGATTTTATCTTGTCCAGTGATGGATTAGATATCAACTACTTAAGGACTACAATACAATAACTTGTGAAAGTGGATCACTACAAGTTGCCTCATTTTATAAAATAACAATTTCTTCTTTAACAAAAAAATTGATGAGCAACGCACAGTGATCAAGGTCAAGATGAAGTGACCAGGTGTTTCTTATGTTTTCATTTTTAAACATTGTAAAGTTAAGTCACAAGGTGTTAATATTCAGCTATATTAGGTTTAGTTCTCCCATACGCTCTATCAAAATAATCATCTATTATTATTCAAAGGTAGTTATTGTAGAGTTCACAAGATTCTTGCATGCTTTTGGAGTAGGGCTCCAATTAACTTGTTATTGTCTGAATCCTGGTTCTTGTACGACTAGGACCGAGCAACTGACACCTAAGGTCTTGGCAAACTTAAAAAGGCATCTCTCTTGAAAGAGTATTTGAAGCTATATTAGACTAACACCATGCATACCGTTGTCTCAATGACGACGGCGATAAAATTCAGGATGAGAACGAATGCTACAACATAACCAAATTTGGCACTTCGAACAAACTCTTTCAGAGTCTCTGAAGCAGGTGAGTTGTAAAATCCTGGGCAGCTTCCAAAAATCGGTTCCTGCAAATAAAAACATTTTAAGTAGGGCATTAAAATTAAATAATCATAACACTATTATATCCAGTTTCTAGAGGTGCACTTACAATATCCTCCTTTTGAAATCTGAGTCCAATGGCGTGAGACAGATCAGCAAATTCCTCCAAATTAATCTGCATGTATGACCAGGAAAAGCAATAATGGTATCAGCAGCTAGTAGATAAAAATTTGATGAGAGGTTCACTTGATAAAAGAACATGCATGCCCCTTTCTACTTGCATCTATTCCTTTTCCTTACTTATTTTATCCTAACATGTTGCTTTCTCTAGGAGTGCCATTTTCATAATAGAAACTATCAAGTGGGTATTATGATTTTGGAAATCGAATGGGTACTTTTGTAATTAGGCTAAACTTTGAGTCTTTGCAAGTATCCAACAAATCAAATTACTCATAAAACAAATTATTTTGTTTTTGTTTTTAATAAACACACTGGCTAAAGTACTCAGCAATGATCCAAATTAGAAAAATAATTTTACATAAAATTGTTTGGAAGACTTAACATACCATGGGAACTAGTTATCTGTGATATTTCACGATTGAGAAATCTTAAATGAGAAAAGATATTTTACTTAAGAGCAAGGCTTCAATGTAAGGATTCGTCTTTCTTATTGTAATGTTTAGGATGATTCATGTTTTCTCATTAATACTGTAACATTTCACCTATTGACAAAAAATCTGCTTTTATTAACAGCAGGTAGAATCTAAGTATCCATGAATTTTCCAATATATGCAACCTTTCTCTAAAGTCTTCAGCATCCAAGAATAATTCAATCTAAATGATTTAAGGGAATGCTCAAGTATGATAAATTTCAGGATAATATAGGATTTGGAGTTTATTAAGAAAGATATACTTAATTAACAATTTCCTCGTAACTGCATAATTTTCAAAGTAATTAGTCAACTAATATGAACCAAGAAACCCACTCTGTTACCTTAGAATGGTATCCTGAATTCAAACCGAAAAAGGAAAGAAAAAAATAATTTGAAAATAGGACCATTTTCTTTCAGAAACTGATGGCACTGTTTAAAGGTCTATGTAAAACATCTTCATAAAAGGCACATTTACTAGCTCGTTAAAGCTTTCATGTACAATAGCACAATCATAGATCATACACATATATATATCTATACTATTATATAAGGATGACTTATTTTGTAAAAAAATGAATCGACTAAAAAGTACTTGTGCTTAATAAACTTTTAATGGCAAAATTATAATTATAATTATTTAAAGATAAAAACTATTAAAAAATAAATACTTTTTCTTATTATAGGACTCTAAATATATGTGAAAGATCTCATTAAACATGGTAGGAGTCCGAACATGATATGATAAATAACTTAAGTAATTTATAATATAATATTTTTCATAAAACCAAAATATAAGTAACAAAAATATAATGCTCATCTCATGTAGCTCCGATGATTATTTACAAATTCTATGAAATTTAAAATAAACTTTGAAAGATAGAATTAGCACATGAACATAAGCTAATATAAATTTAATCCACTATTGAAAAATCAACTTTACTACTTAATTAATTTTGTTATAGAATTTTCACATTTTCTTGCACACTATAGATTGACTAAAAATACACTTTTCAACCATATGAGACCAACTCATTATTTAATATTCACAGCATGCCGAGAACTCAACTACGAATATTATCTTAGAATTTATGAACTGATGCAAATTTTAATATTTACATATAATTATATAACTGATAATAATTTTGTGTACAGATATTCACAATTTAATCCATATTTTTGTGAATAATTTTAGCTTGAAATTGAATGATTATATTGTGGATAATGACGAGTACATAGCTGTTTTACTTAATAATTTCAGTCAAGAGAAGTTCTGGCTCAAAATGAATAAAATTACTAGATTCAATAAATGATCTACAACTTTCATGATTTGATTAAATAGTAACCAAATTATATCAAATAAAAATATATTGCTCTTTATACTTAAACAATGACAACAAGTACCCAAATATAAATAGTGAGTAATCCATATGATTGAATTATCTATATTTATATTATCCATCTTAAACCTATGTTTTAAAATTTGAATAAAGATAATTAATATAATGGGCAAACTTATATGTGACACCTACAATTAAAAAATATGTTACTAATAAGGACAATGCTACAATTAAAAAATATGTTATTTACCCTTAATGCACAATTTAAATAAATTGTACATTAAGGGTAAATGTGTACATACACACCTTGGATGTAAACCAAGGTGTAAAGGGGAATGTACAAGTAGCATTATTCTATTAATAATTAATTTATATGAATACTTACATTAATGACTTTGAAATTGAAAATCATGGGATAATCACTAACCTTAAAAAAAATGAGTGAGGAACACTTTAAAAGTAAAAGGAAAGAAAATCTCTTATCAATGATCAAGAATAGACACATTTATATTAGATATTATTTTTTATTTAGCTATTTTTATTTTCATTAGAAACTCATTGTTTTCCATCTATTTTACATTGGTACCTCAATATGTTATTCCAATCTCTATATATTACAAAAGCATGATGTTATTTTATTTAAATTTACGATTTATATTAAACTTTTTTTTAATTTTGTTCCATTATTGACATGATTAAGAATCTAATTATTTTTTACTAGAAAAATAATTAACAAAAAAAAAAAATTAACTACCACGTGCACTGCACGTGCACTTTACTAGTCATCATAAAAGGCATAGATAAAGAGAACTTGTAGCATGACAGTCAAACAAAATATCTAAAACATATATCTAAAAATTTTAATGTGTGCATACATGAAAAGGAATGAGCAACATGCTGTTGAAAATGAAACATGCCCATTAAAATGGAAATGGAGTAGAAGAAGCTACCTTCACATCATGACTATCATCCAACTCGTAGAAGATTAACTCAAAATCCTCTCGTGATATTTTTGGCAATGTCCTATGTTTATGTTGAAAACAAAAGATGTTGTCAACATACAGAAATAAATAGTAAACTAAGAACACTGCATTCAACTAGAGATGCTGGAAATGAATGGGAGATACAACATCTGAAGGACTAATGTTGTTTGGGTGACAACAGTTTCATGCTTTCCCTAAAGTCATAATTTCAGTTGATTCTCTAAACATTCATGCATCAAGGAAATATTCATGATCCTTATACATCAATGATTAAACTTATTGAGTAAAATGATCATAGATTACTGCAAACATTTATACCAAGGGAAGCTTTTGTGGATGAGAACTCTACCTGTATTTGTTGAGTTCTTCGAACAAACGAATGCATTGATCTTTGTCAAGGAAGCCAAGATTCTACAAAATACCAAAATTGCGAAAAAATTAT